GTCGAGTCAAGAGTCCGCAGGGCTTGTTTCCAGGTGAAATTTTAGGTGGTAAACTGTTCAAAGCAGAATAGAGTTGAAATTGTTGACTGTTCTTGAAAATTCTTGAGATTCTGGAGCACCTGAGTACTCTGAGTGGACACCTTCACTGGGTTTTGTTTTAGACAGTTCAGAGACTTTCCCCTCTGTAAAGATGCATAGATCCCTTTATTCTAATGCTTTCATCCAGTGAGATTGCAAAGCCTTAGGTTTGTGATAAATGTGAGCACCGTGTAGAAGATGGACCTGCTTTTTTTAATGCAGTGTGAACCATACCTCAGTATTTTTTTTATGCCTACACCAAGATATTTCTGTTTGCACGTGCTAGGCATATATCAGGCCTGCTGCTTGTATTGGCCATGAAACTGGAAGTTAGTGTTCTTAAATCCTTGTAAAGGAGATGTTGCTTTGAACCTAACTTAGTTGTGTTCTTCATAGTGTGATTCTTTAATTAGAATGTGCAAATATCTGTATTGAGCTTTGGCTCATTTAGCTTCTGTCTGGTAGAATTATCTCCCCAGGGAGACTTATGTCAGGCTTCAGTTTAATCATAGTAAATCCAAACTTAAGCACTAACAGATTTTTATTGTGTAATGCATCCTGGTTTGATTTTTGAGGTGCTACAGCATCAAATGCTGACGTAAATAGGGCTATGTACACCCTAAATATTAAAATAAAACTTTAATTGAATAAGGTTGTACCTGGTTACATGGTTATATTGAGGGAGGTACTAAAGCTACCGTCTAACTGCAGATCCAGGCCTTTGTGGTTCTGGTAAATGGTTGATTTTCTTCAGGGATTCTAAAGTACTTTCAGGCTCATGTAACTTTTTTTTTTTTTTAACCAATTCAGGGAGTAGAGATTGTGCTATAACTGATGTAGCTGTCACAATTGCCTGAACAAATATAGCTAGCTAACACTTAATAGCAGTTAAGGGTAGTGTACTATATCACCATTCATCATAGTGTGCAAACAGTGGAAATGTATTATGTAAATATATTATCACAGGTCAGGTTTAGTTTTCTACTGCTTGGTGTCTACCAGTTGGTGTGGTATCGCTTTGGCTATACTTGGTTGAAATCTTAATTTTGATTTTTGGATGATGTCGGCAGAAACACTTAACATGTAAAGTTGCTAAATGGCTTATAAATACACAGAGCATTGGACCACTTCTCTTTGGGGACAGGGAATGATTTACAAAGTCAAGTTGTGAGCAGATAACCAGATATTACAATATTCTTAACAACTGATGGCTTTTCAAGTTTGAAACAAAAGAATGCAAGTTTTCAGACTTTCTATTGATCTGATATGATGCTACACCTAGGATGTTGCATTGGTCTATGTCACTTGCACAGGAATTGTACAGCTCGGTTCTTGGAGAAGACCAGATACAGTTTCACGTGAAATACTTTATCTGAAAGTTGTTATAGTTAAGCTTCTGTTAACTGGGAAGCTTGGTGTGGGAGGGGGGAAAAAAAAGGCTTTGAATTATTGTCTAAATTTCTGGGCTTCAGATACCTTCCTATACTTTCTGAGCGGTTCTTGTAAATAGTTTTATTAGAAATAAAACTAGAAATATCTGGATTTCAAAGTATGTTGCAAGAATTAAAACATTTGTCAGGCTGACTACTAGGTTTCAGTGACATGCAGGCCTTCCTGGAAGGAAGGTGAAAAGGGTACTGTCATGGATTAAGTGATACTTTTGTTTTAGTTAGGTTTAAAGTTCATCCCTGACATTGCCATTGCTTTTTAGCAAATTTCTGTCCAGCTACGATCTTGGGCAATTTTTTTAATAAGGGAATGGAGAAAACTGCATTTGTCAGCTTGTAAGTTTCAGTGGCCTAAAAGAACCTACTTAAATTATGTCTTAGCAGTATTAAAAGTTTTCCTGCTCATAAATTTTCTAAAACTGGCTTATGCTAGAAATACTGTTAAGCTTGGTTATCTTCTCATGACTTGTTAAAGCATCTGTTGCTTTTCAAAGCACATGTTACCATTGAGTAACTTCAGAGGTGCTGGGCGGCAGAGGACAGGATTTTCACCCAGGCATTTCTTGTTATGTGTTTCTGCTATAGGATGAATTAATCCCTATGTTACTTTACAAATGTGCTTGAATTTTACAGACATTTTTCTATTTTGCTAATGTATCATTCCAGCGATATAGTTTCTACTGAATCAAAAGAAGTATCCTATGAAATAGCAATGGAACTTCTTGTTATTGGACTACTGTTTCATTTTTAGTGCTTTGTTGAACTTTAACAGCTTAAGAAATGAGTTGAGCTTCATTGTTTAATAGAAATTGTGTGTTCACTAAAGCAAAATGGATGCAGGGCTTTTTAAAGCCAGTCTTGCTGTGAACTGTAGAAATAGGTATGTGGAAACAGCAATTTTCTACGACCGAATTACTTTGTCTCAAACTAAATAAAAATGATATTCTTGATTTTTAAAAAATCTATAAACAAATAAAGAAACAAGTTTAATTGTAGTAATGGAAGAAGCGAAGTCTGGTATGAATTAAATAAATTAACTATTCGTTAGATATGAGATCAAAGGAAAGGATTTATGCTCTGAGGTGGAGAGACATAGCAAAAGGATTTGTATTAATGGGGTAGCGGATCAGTGCAGAGAGGGGACCAGAAGACTAATCTGTGGAAGGTTTGGACAGGGTTGATGATGATAGTGCAGCGTTGGTGTCAGCAGTGGGAAATCCATGGCACTAATCTGTGATACTGGGGGAGGGAGGGGAAGATCCTCTGTGCTCGCTGTCCTCTTGAGGAACTGGATCAACTGTCCGGGTGATGTGCAAGAGGGAAGGTTATGGTGTGCAGAAAGAGACAGTAGTGTGCAGTGTGACAAAATGGAAGAAAGAGTAAAGTGGCATGAGGGGAGAGAGTTGATGAAAAGGATGAAAGGGTAAATAAACACTCCAGGCTGAAAAATAAAAAAGTGTTACTGGAGAGACCTGATGTGACCTAGTTCAAAACAGAAAATAATTCTCAGTGTGCACTGCAAAAAGTTGGAGTCTTTCTAGGATATTGTTGGGGGCTATGTGTTTCTTAGTAATTTGATGTAAATGTGATTGATAAAGTGCAGATTTTGTAGGTGTTATCTCAGGGCCTTTTAGGTATGGAACACTTTGTTTCCTTTATGATCAGTCAACACCTCTTCCTCTTTTCCTGGGTGTCATTCACAGTTAGTTTTTCTTGTCAAAATCCTACCATTATACGTGTGACTGAAAGTCAGTGAAAATCCCAAGAGCAACTATTGGATCAACAGGAAATCAAATATAAATAGAGTTTATAATCTTCTTGTCCAGACAGGCTGTATCTTTCATATATTTTAGTGTATACCATCTGTTTGCATTAGGATTTAACTTTTTCTGTTGTGTTTGTTGCTTTTTTTCCCCAAGAATTATTTGAGGGGTGGCTGTCGCTAAACAGCAAATTTATCTGTGTCAGTTACACCTTTTAACCTATGGCATTAACTTTTTTTTTTTAATGCAGGCTTTTATTTATAGCTCTCGCACAATGGTTTGAATCAATTTTGTGATATAAATGGCTAAATAGTCAATTTTACTACTTCAGCTATATCTGGCAATAAGGCATGACTACCCATCTGTAAAATTCCTGTGCCTTTTAGTCTCCCCTATCTAAAAGTGACATTTGAAATGTGTTTATTTAGACGTGAACCACTGGCTCTTATCAACCTCAAAAAGAAAAACGAAGAAACTGGGGAAGAAGAACTTGCCTCACGCTTAGATCACTGCAAAGCAAAAGCCACCAGGCACATATTCCTTATCCGTCATTCTCAGTATAATTTGGATGGCCGGGCTGATAAAGACAGAACTCTGACTCCACTTGGTATGTATTGCTAGGAGCATCGTATTTTGCGTTTTGAGAAAATTGTTTTTCGTGTGCTGCTGTCCTGATGAGTACAGTACAGTAGCTTAGCTCTGTTCTGAGTCTCACTGCCAAACCGTAATCCACTTTCTGGATCCTCTCTGACAGAAAGATGTCATGAATAAATTTGTGTTTTCCATTTTTGATCCTCTAAATACAAACATTAAGATAAGCTTTACAGAGTTCTAAACACACCCAAATGTAAAGAAACTTCACAAAGGACGTTTCCAATAATCTTAAGGTTGCTTGAGCATATTTTCATGCTAGCTGACATAATTTCCCAGGGCTAAGGCTTTTGAATTTAGCTCCATGACTAACTTTGGGATAGATTTTAAAAGTGACCTGTGTTTCTGTTAGGTATATTGCTGATTTATAAAAAACAATTAAAAAAAATTTACCCCGACTTCTCTTTCAGTTGAAGTGTTTATAATTAAATACATTTCACTTTTGCTACTAAGCACTGTTTCTGGGAATACTGCTGATCAGTTACATGAAATGAGGATGACTTCTGTGTTAATCTTAATTCACTGATTCTGTGACTAGGTCTCAAATGTTATTTAGTATTATTTTTTAATAGTGTCCACTGCTTTTAAAGTACACTTTCTTGACTATATGTATGCCAACGCTATTTGGAGGGGGAAGAATTATTATTGTGCAGTGCTGCTTGAGGTTTTGGAAGTCTGGTGCCAAATGTTCAGTATAAA